AAGAGAGAGACCTATCCAGGGCCCCGGTGATGAAGGCCATGTTGTTAGCCACCGCGACGACCTGAGCCGCATTGGCGTAACATCTATCGTGCATCGCCTAAGACATCCTATCCCGCTCGGAGGGAAGGAGAGGTCTGGTGCCAGGCCACACGGATGCGGAGGGGTGCAGGGCCGCCCGAACCGAGTCCTCGATGTCCGGGACCCCGCCGGTCCAGGACCAGTCCTGCACGTTACAATACATGCCGTACCCCAAAGCGGGCCTCTTGGCCGCTAGGGGCTTTGGCCACTCACGTGTCGCGTAATGGACGATCGGGTCCATACGCGGGCACAACGTGGGCTGCGCTCTCCTCCTCCCTCGAGTGGTGGCGTAACCAGAGGTGAAGTCCTCCACCCTCTGGTTCGGTTGCGGTGGCAGGGGGGCATCCATGATGGCCGCCGCCGTGGAGTAGAGCCCAGGCATGTGGTCCAGCGGGAAGCGGTCCGGCTCCGGGTTGGACACCACCTCGTCCAGCGTGAGGAGAGAGCCGACCTCCGACACCTCTCCGTCCTCGCAGTCACCCCACTCCGCGGGCACGGGTGGAAGGTCGAGGGGGGCCCAGTCAATCACAGACTCCTCGTCCTGAGAGGAGTCCGGACGGGGCGCTGTAGCGGCGAAGAACGCGCGCCTGCGTTCACTCTCCTCCCTGGGGAGAGCGAGACACGAGGCGCAGGTGGCGCTCAACGCCGCATGGCCCGAACCCAGGCACACGAAGCAGCTGGAGTGCTGGTCCTTGCGCTGGAGCTTGACCCGACAAGTCGAGCAACGACGACGTCCGACGCCGGATGGCGAAGGGGAACTCGGACGAGCATCAGAAGACATCTTTCCTCAGGTAAATTGAAATGTAGATCTCAATCGGCGCCAGAGTGAAAGAGGGGGTACGGCCTTGTGCAGGGGCATTTATAGAGGAAGGTGGCTGGTGATTGGAGCAAATTATTTTGATCTCTCTGGCGCGTGACCTGGGGGTCACGAGTGATATCCCACTAGCGAAGTCCTAAGGGACGTAGCACCATGACGTAGAACCCTAAATCACAACAGTAGATATCTCAGAAGACTTGACAACAGACCATATCAACAGTTCACACAGAATGCAGTGATACTCCATGTGATGAAAAAACACTTTTTGTACACTTGAGTAAAAACATGTCAATATTCTTCCTCTTAAAACACAATGGTGATACTACTGCAGCAACAGCTGCCCAGGGGCACACAGACAGAAGCAGGGCAACAGTCACGTGCCATCGGCCACTCCGGCCACCAACCCTTCAACCGCACACCAGACTCACTCCAGGCAATGTGGTCAAAGTGTCTTGCCTAAGGACACAACGACAGTTTGATACTTTACAGCCGCCCACTGTGGCACCTGGTGGTTCCAGGTGCAACAAAGGTCCACAGTAACAAAGGATCAGAAAAGCTTTTATTGTCCCACAGTGGGTAAATTTCAATGTTGCAGCGCACATACAGGACAGTATATACAGAGCACTAAGCATAGAGTATAAAGAGATAAGTAGGTGCAATGCTTCTGTGAGATTTCATAACACTTTTAAGCAACTTTTGTTGGGGTTGAACTCGTCGTTCTATCGGTGTGCAGAGGCCAGTGCTTTTCCCTTGTTTTTTCTATCTGAAGGCCAAGCTACAAGCACACCGTGGAAGCTGCTGATTGGAGGTCTCCATGCCTCCGCTCTGTATAATACACTTGCATTCTCTTGTATCTGTGATCGTGTGCTTTGTTTGTGCTGTCTCTACCATCGACAATAAAACATGTCTTCTGTCTGAATTTAAGACGCGATCCCAGACTATGTCATCTTCTTCAGGTGGTGGAGGATTGCGGGCCTTGTCTGTAACATCTAGAGAACAGAAGACTTTTTTTTTACACAAAAAGTGTTTTTTTTTTAAGCCAAAACTGAGAAACCTCAAGAGAATGCATCTGGATCAGCACATGGACAATCTGCTCAGCTCCTGATTCCAATCAGGCTGTGAGCTGCTGAGACATGGACAATACCATCGTCCTCTTTTGCATGGACACCATTTGGAACAATTGGATTACACAATTTGGACATAATTTGGACTGAATTGGATTGCTGAATCTGGACACTAAAGCTGAAACGTGTGATTGAAAGACACGTCACAGAAGAATTCATGGCTCGACACAAATGCAGCCTGAAGAAATCAACACGGAGAAGTGGGAGAGACTGTTTTCAAAGCAATATCTGGAACCACCATCGACTGATGAAGTTTGGTATTTTACTGAAGATTGTTGACGAGTTTTATGAAAGATCTGAACATGTTTTATGAGTTTTCTGAGTTTTTGAAGTATTTGAAGTACCGAGTGAAGTACCGAGTTCTGAGTTTTTTGAAGTACCGAGTGAAGTACCGAGTTGAAGTATTGAGTTATGATGTTATGTTGCTGTTTATCGATCCTGATGGTCACACGTGAATGTATGACCAGAGGGGGGAATGTGAGATTTCATAACACTTTTAAGCAACTTTTGTTGGGGTTGAACTTGTCGTTCTATCGGTGTGCAGAGGCCAGTACTTTTCTATCTGAAGGCCAAGCTACAAGCACACCGTGGCAGCTGCTGATTGGAGGTCTCCATGCCTCCGCTCTGTATAATACACTTGCATTCTCTTGTATCTGTGATCGTGTGCTTTGTTCGTGCTGTCTCTACCATCGACAATAAAACATGTCTTCTGTCTGAATTTAAGACGCGATCCCAGACTATGTCATCTTCTTCACTTCTTAACAAGCTGTGAATGCTTCATAAGAGCAGAAAGTAAATTCATAAGGTTCACAAACAAAAATGACAAATGAAGAACACATATTTCAAAAAGGAAATTCGTTTTATGTTTGCTAATTTACACCTATGTAAAAAATTTTTGTCAATGTAATTATTTTGAATGATGCTCCTAAGAGTCCCAGTTGGTTCATATGGCACTAACATGTCACAGATGTACTTTGGTGCTATACCACAAAGAGAGTGCTGTGCTGCTTTAAATTATATTCTCTGAGCCACGGGAAGCTAGAGCAGTGACCTAGGCTCTGGACTAATGTGATGGCACTTCCTGGTTCTAGTCAGGACCTAGTCAGTGCCACAGGTCCACCCCTGTGGCACTCCACAGTTTAGGGCCATTAGATCTGAGACACCGTTTCCAATCGCAGTAATTCTTTTCATGTCTTCTAGGTAAGAGTTAAACAAACTTAGGCCGGTGCCAGCGACAACCCACTCAAGCCTTTATAGTTCCTGCAGCCCCACAGAGACAAGCCCATTCATTTTTGTCCAAATACTCACACAATCAGCCACACAGGCTGTTGTGTCAGAAAAACTCAGCATTCAACCAATTTGTTTGCCGAGGTGTGTTCAGTGAGGACACACCAACCTAATAAAGTGTTAAATTTTACAACAATAAACAGCAACCAAACTGTTTTATAGTTTGTCGCTCACATGTGGCTCAGGTGAAGCAGCGTTCACTTGTTGCTTGAGCACATTTAAAACCTCAAGAACACTGCACTTTTCTTCGGTCGACCAGTTCAACACGAGCCAGAGAACACAGGTCTGAAAATGTCTAAAGATCCTTGTGTTCAGAGCTGTTTTCTGCCTTTAAAACAAAATAATTACTTAGTTTGGTGAATTCATGTTTTTGCCGCACGCATTCCAATGTTTAATTTTTAATAATAAAATTAATTATAGGTAAATCACATGTAAACTGTGTAATGTCCAAGTTTCAAATATAAAAATGCTAAAAGAAAACAAAAAGATCTAAACATAAATACATGACTTCTTGTAATTTACAGTTTTATTAGTTTTTCCTGCACATTTCCAATAGAGACCAAAACAGTTCTCAGATCTGATGACTTTAAGCCAAATCCTCCACCTGCAGGCCATCGAGCAGAGCCTTGGTTTATGTCTGTGTTACTGTGTTGTGTTATGCCTGTCTTATGCGTATTTTCAATGTGGATGAGTCCAAGACAAATTTCCTACAGGACATACTAAGCTAATCTTGATCCTTGAATTTCATTTTATGAATGTAGCACTGTATAATGCAAGAAGTACAAATAAAAGGGCATATTTTCAAACCACAATAATGTAAAAATGTCAAGACACACAGTTTTAGTTTGTCTCTAATAACTAATAGAAATGAAAAAAGAGACAATAATGAATACAAATAATTATCAAAACAAAGTAACAAGTACAGGGTTCAAAACCATGAAGGTCCAATGTTGTAATCTGTTGCTTCGCCACAAGATGGAGACATTCGTCCTTCGGAAAGAGCACTGTCCAATTTTAAAATGTCCGATAACAAAAAATAATTAGATTTTTGGAATCAGGCTCTTTTTCTGGACTTTTCATTTCAGAGATATACTCTTGAATGGAGTTTAATTTCTTACGGGTTCATATGTAGGTTTAAAACATTATCTACAAGCTCATTTATACCAAAATGAAACTAAAATTATACATTTTTATCTCCCTCTTAACAGTACATTATGTGGGGAGTCTATTCACACACTGTAGTTTGTCCACTATGTTTGTCCACTCTGCGATAATCTTGAGGTAAGAATATAACACAAACAATAAAACATGTAAAAGATGAATAATAACATGTGTTTATGAGTCTTGTGTTGTTCCCGGTGCTGTCCCGGGCCGCTGTCCGCTCCGGAGGCTGAAGGCATTCACCGACACTCCCTAACAATCTGCTGAGAGTCATCAATTATGCAGTGTATGTGCGCGCACTGGGAAGGAGAGAGCAGCAACAATATGGCGACAGCCGCAGTTTCCCGGGACCCTGTTCTCCATCTGCAGTCCACCCGCGGCCCGTCTCTGCTCTTCTGATCCACACAAAGTAAGTAGTCCTTCGTCTTTGTTCTTGGCGTGATGTTTGTGGAGGATTAGACGCAGTGGCACATCCCCCGACCGGCTACACCTGACTGCCGCAGCGCCTCTCAGCATCCACGGGCTCGGTGTGGATGGAGAGGAGGCGCAGACGGGCTGGTCCCTCACACGGCTCTATGCTCTCTCTTAATGGGCTAGAAGATGGAGCCTGTGTATGGACCGGCTCTAGCGCTGTCCAGTGTGGGATGAGAGGCACAGCGCGCTCGGATGCTGATGCTGCTGATGCTGGGGTGTTGGCCCGCTCCGGAATGACATTACAATGTGAATGTGGCTACGCACAAAGTCAGGCCGCGCCAAACTTCAACCCATAACTATTTCACACGCTCCGTCACGGGATCCACACTGCGACGCCTGTAAATCTCACACAAATACGTGACTTAAAGGGGCTCGTTATCTCCTGCTTTTTGCACGTCTTACAGTGGACGTTTTTGCGAGCTCTGTTGCCCAGTCTGAGGAGAGCAAGTGCGTCTTTTGGCACTCCCCTGAGGCCCGTGAGGTCTTTCCCCCCCAATAATCCCACAGAACACAGGCCAAAATATGTCCCGAACGAACACATACATCCACCAGTGACTGCAGCAGGAGAGGTCAACGCCAAATCTCAGTGTATTGAATGAAAGGAATGGATTGGATGCGTTTTCGGTCAGTGTTGTTGCTTTGAACGCGATGGAGACATGAGTATTCGTCTTGACCCACTATGAGTTTGCCCGGTGAGGAGCAGCAATAAAACATACTGCAGCATTTTTTTAGACTAGGGCCCTGCACCGCGCCGCGCTCTCTCATGCCCAGCTCCTTGAAATTCACAGACGATTTTGTGTGGGGGAAAAAGTGACCGCTGGATCTACTGCGGGCACACTTTATTCCGCAGCCGTGCATGGGGCGATGTGGGGGGCGCGCTATATATATATATAAAGGTGTACTTTGGTGATTTATCTGCACGCATCCTGGTGCTCTGTGCTTGCAGCCGGTTTGGGAGCACTGCAGAAGCGGGGAGGCTGTGGGTTTGTGCTCGCCGGGGCCCATGTGATCACCTCCTCCCGCCGGTCAGGTCAGTGAGAGACAGGGATGCGCCCCGCGATCGTGTGTCTCTCCACAGAAAAGGCTATAGACTTATAAACCCAGTCACCTCACGGGACCTGCTTGCTATTGTCTCTCGGCTCCGATAATGACAGCAGCTGAGATATCACTGGACATGGCTCTGGCTGAGTTTTAATGGAAATACCTTTACGTAATTGATGCCTTTACGCATTACGCACGATTCATTGAGTTGATGGATTTTGGCCACGCTCTATACTGTTTTTCTTCACGTGTTTTTTTTTAACGTCCCTTGATGGGGATATGGAAACGGTGCGAGGTCTGTCCATGCATCTGATCCCGGGTTGAATCACCTTGAAAGATGATCAATCGACTCTCTCCGTGGTGGAAGGAGACGCAGAGGTTGTTCAGGTTTGAAGTCTTGGGGAAAAAATGTTGCTTTCATGGGACTGTGTCGAAAAGCGGTTTCTGGTGCTGAATTTCAATGTTTACAACTTTGCATCAATCCACTATAGGGCTGTCTCCTTTAGCTCGGTTGGTCGATGAATCGGTCTAATGTATGTGTATGCATAATTTATTCGTTTTGTATTTGCTGAATGGCTATTTGAATTGAATCACATGGATTTCTATGTTAAAATATGGAGCAAAATGGTTGAAGATTTTGATAGTCTTAATATTTGCTTATGTGTGCCCCTCATTCCTCCTGCTCAGTCACTTGTGATGCAACACTGAAATTTCCCCACTGTGGGACGAATAAAGGCTCTCTTAATCTCAATCTTAATCTCAATATTTAAGATGGATCAAACTTTAACCTTAAGACTTGCATTGCTAAATCTTTGAGTGAATTTGTACTTACATTACCCCTTCCCCTTCAAACGATTACAAATGAATTATTCATTTAAAGCTGGAGTACCTAACTTTCATTTTTCATACCAATTACATCAAGTTTTTCCCAGCAGAACCACTTCAACATGCTGTCTTCATCCTGTTATCCTATTGTGTGAGAGCGAGAGCCCCGTGAGTCACTATTTTACGCTTTGGGCTTAAAGCTGATTGGCTGAGTGAGGGTGGTCTGTTCTTTCTTACTTTTCCGTCTGAAAAGATGATCTAAAGATGTGACAGAGGCCAAAAATACATTTAAAAAAATGTATAACCAGGAGCTCGACATGGATTTGATTACATCTAAAGTTCATTCATTGCGGTTTGGTTTGAAAGTTAGGTACCCCAGATTTAAGCATTTAATGTTTTAGAATGTGTTGGATAATAGCTTTTATGATACATTTTCTAAGTGAAGGCACAGATCTGCTATAAGAAATTGGAAATACTCTTGTTTTGCTCTGTTCATGATGTCCTATAGTGCAGACATGTCCAAACCAAGGCCCGAGGGCCAATTGCGGTCTGCTGTGTCATTTTTTGTGGCTCTCTGCCTTGCTAACCCTAAATACCTTTAAGATTAAATACACAAGTTCAGCTCCTCCAATACTGGCAGGTTGCACATCCATTAATTTGTCTTCATGAAGAGATTCCAAAGTAGTTGAAGTCCCTGGTTAGAAAGTAAGCATTTTCAGTCAACTTCAGCTCTCACAAATGATTCCACTCAAAACCGCTTTAACGTCTATGTCGTCGACACCTGGACAATTCAGTTGAACAAAAGTGGCCCTCTAACTAGTTTCCCTGTCCTACCATAACGTGTTTGTGATTGGAGCTTTTAGACAGAAGGGAGCTTGTGCTAAAAGTACCTGATGTTAGCCTGGATTAGGGCTAAAGGAATATTAGGAGTGGACTGACCGAGTGTGACATCACCATAGTGTTAGCCTTAATGCGGAAGTAGACCATTTGTTTGCTAGCTGGAGCCAATTTCCTTATTTGAGCAATTTCTCCAGTGTCGTTTGCCGTGCTCCGTCACAGAGACATAGTTGGTAAGGAAAGATGGAGTTTCCTCAGTGAATGAAGGCGTCTGATTGGTCAATCCTAATATGGCTCATATCTGGTCTAACCCATCCCTTAAGAAAATAAACCCCAGGGTCCCATAGAGCGCTAAACCATGTTTTTAAGCCCAAATTCGGTGAGTGTGACGCAAACGATTACAGAGAAGAGGAGTTTACTTTCCAATGTATAACCCCATTTCCGCCAGCCCTACTCTACTTTACTCTATACCCTACCTGGTTGCCTTTCCATTACGCTTTAGTATCTGGCAACGTATCCTAACAAGCTACCCGAAACAAACTGGTATCTGGGGAAATTCCTTAGTATTCCATAGGCTTCCAGCTGCTCTCTGGCCAATCACTGTCAGTTAGAACACTTTAGTACCAGCTTTCCCTGGATAGAACCCGGATCAATCAGGTACTAAAAAGTACTTGGTCCTGCTTAGACACAGCCGGTGGAAACACTCCCAAACGGGGTAGAGTAGTGAGCACTTCCATATTGTGTTTGAGCCAGAGGATTAGCATTGTCCATTAATGTACAGTCTATGACAAATACATAATATTTTGCTGGTTTTAATCCATCCAGACAGTGAAAAATCAGTCTGTTCAGTATAGATTTTTTTAATACTAAATACTTATCAACTTAATTCGCCCTAAAATCACAACAGCAGAAGTCTTGAAGGGCATGACCGAATTGTTGATTTGCAGACGGATTAGAATGAAAACAGACAGAATAATTATTGCTCCATACTCCAGACTAGGTAATGTTTATATATTTGAAAAAAAATTGAAAATATCCCAGAGTGACTTATGCTTTTGTTTGTTATGATTGAGAGCAGGGGTGTCCAAACTTTATATATACAAGGCCACTTTCTTATACCAGACTTGTCCAAGGGCCGACAACATCAATTCAATCTGGGGAAACTCAAACAAAAGGGGTTCTTCCACTCGTATTTATTGGTTGTCATAGTAATCTGTCCCTACATAAATCAATGGGGAGGAGGAGAGTTGCTGCGTGATTGAAAGCTGTTGTTCTGGACTTTGAAATGGGGTTCGATGCCATGTCCATATTGACTCTCACTACAGCTACAGTACGTTAGCGCCCTATATGGACATTTGCGACAGAATCAAAAACAGTATCTACAGACAAATGGATTCCAAAGGTTCACAATGAGGTAGATCATGCATATTAGTTGAGCTGAAGTTGGATGGATGACACTGTGAAAGTAGGTCAGTGGTTGTTTTGTGGGACACAGGACATGACACAGCAATTCCCAGTTTGGACGGTCCTGATTTAGATGATTATGCCTACAGTCCATTTTCATAATATAATACAATCTGACACATTTACTTTGGGTTTTTTACATCTGTATCAACATGATAAGAACCAGGCTCGATATGTCTTTGTGCAATTGGACTTAAATACCAGGAACAGTGCGGTTGTATAGAACTACCATAGCAGTCATTATGATGGCTTTTAAGATTAAGATTAAGAGATCCTTTATTCGTTCCACAGTGGGGAAATGTCAGTGTTGCATCACCAGTTACAGAAGAACAGGAATGAGGAGCAGACAGTACAAGATAAAAGCAACTAAAAGTAAAATTATTAAAGTCTATCCATTTCAGTTGCTTGGTAAGCAACTTTTGAGGGCAGTTAAAGCCCCTTTTTTCAAGATGCTGGTTCTGAACTGGTCCTGTTCAGGTTCTGATTCTGAGCCGAGTCAGCTTGGTTTTAGGTTATCTTTTATTTGACAATAAAATCTCTCAATGTTTGAATTAATCTAACTTCACATCCATCACATGTTCCTTTGGCGTATCGTTAGTATTCACATTTTAGTGTCTGGTAATGTAGTTCAACAATCTACTCACCACAAACCAGTATCTGGGGAAATGTTGCACTTTGGCCAATCACTGTCAGTTAGAACACTTTAGTACCAGCTCAGCCTGGCTAGAACCAGGGCCAAGAGAGACTAAAGAAGGACCTAGTACAGATAAACAAGGCCTAATGGGCGTAGAAAAGAGTAACGGCGAGTATAGTAGAGTGGAGTAGAGTAGAGCTGGCAGAAACAGGGCTTAAGTGACCACAACATGGCCAAAAGTGTTTTGTACTTGGTTTATGGTTAAAGCTGTAGTAAATAATGTGTCTGTCATCTGTCTGATATTAGTATATTTATTCTAATCCTAAAACTGCATACTTTCCTTGTGAGTGACTAATTGTGGCTTTGGGCTGAGTGAGGGGGTTATCCCTTCTCCTGGTTTCTGTCTGAAAAAGCTGACAAATGTATGGTTTTGTTGCCATACATGTGAGTATTGAGTTACTCCACCCCCTCTGACTAAAAGCTGTTTCTAAATCGTTCCACAGACTATAGCCTCATTCCCACTGAGCAAAAACCCGGGAAATCCACCCACAACCACGAATGAACGTTTATGTCCTTTATAACAGGGGAGTCCAAACTAAGGCCCACTTTAGTTTGTATATACTGTATCAAAATTCCATACACTGCAAAAGGTGATGACAAATAAGCACAAAATTGCTCAAATTTGGCCAAAATTTAGATTCATTTGAGCACATTCTGACTGCAGACTACATTTCTGACTAAAACAAAATTTGCCAATGGGCTAAGCAAAATTAGCTTGTTTCAAAAAGATACAAGAAATGTCTCCCTTGGAATCAGGAAAGAAACCAACAGAGATGGCTTTGTCCCGTTTGCAAATCTTGTTTTAAGACAGTACTCAAATCAAGATAAAAAACACTCGATTCAAGCCATTATTACCTCATATTTTAACATGTTTTGCAGTGTATATGGTGCTAAAGTAGCTGTGGTGTGAATTAACATAGACCTAACAGCAAACCCCATTTTAATGTCCAGAAAAGCTTGAATCCAGTTTAATAAATCCGGGTTGTTTTGCCCCTGGTGAACTAACGTGGCCCCATTACAAAAAAGTTTCTTTATAACCACACCCTGTTTTAGAACCAAACCAACACAAATAATGCATACTTTTGTTTGTTAAAAGAGATGAATCTTCTAAATTTAATGTATTTTCACAATTTTTTTTAGGTCAAATGAAATGCACCTTCTGTCGTTTCCAGCAGCATCAGTCATTTTCTCTGCTCGAGTCATGAGGCTGAGATTGTGCCGACTTCCACATTGAAATGTTTGCACTTTTCTGCTTCCATTTTGCTTTGTTTGCTTTCTACATCTGAAGCTGCATTTGCAAACTTTAAATGGAAATGGACGAGGACGATGAGTTTTCCTGACGGTGAAAATATCGCAAGCAAAATATCAATATGGTATTATTGGCTTCAGAAAGACATTGTTTTGGTCTGTTGGGTTAGAGACAGTGTTGACTAGAGAGAGACCAGAGAGAGACCAGAGATCATAGAGACCAGTGAGAGACCAGAGAGAGACCAGAGAGACACTAGAGAGAGAGCTGAGAGAGACCTGAGATCATAGAGACGTCAGAGAGAGACCTGAGATCAGATAGACCAGAGAGAGACCAGAGAGAGACCAGAGAGAGACCAGAGAGAGACCAGAGAGAGACCAGAGAGAGACCAGAGAGAGACCAGAGAGAGACCAGAGAGAGACCTGAGAGAGACCTGAGAGAGACCTGAGATCATAGAGACCAGAGAGAGACCAGAGAGAGACCAGAGAGAGACCAGAGAGAGACCAGAGAGAGACCAGAGAGAGACCAGAGAGAGACCAGAGAGAGACCAGAGAGAGACCTGAGATAGACCTGAGATCATAGAGACCAGAGAGAGACCAGAGAGAGACCAGAGAGAGACCAGAGAGAGACCAGAGAGAGACCAGAGAGAGACCTGAGAGAGACCTGAGATCATAGAGACCAGAGAGAGACCTGAGATCAGATAGACCAGAGAGAGACCAGAGAGAGACCTGAGAGAGACCTGAGATCAGAGAGACCAGAGAGATCTGATCTCTGTCTGGTCTCTCTCTGGTCTCTCTCTGTCTCGCTGTGTATCCCAGGTCTCTGGTCTCTCTCTGGTCTCTCTGATCTCAGGTTTCTCTCTGGTCTATCTCTTATCTCTGGTTCAAACCTGGTGCAGTCCTGGTTCAGACCTGTTTCAGAATTGTTCAGACCTGGCTCAATCCTTGTATAGTTATGGTTCAGACCTGGCTCAGTCCTGGCTCAGTCCTTGTTTAGTCCTGGTTCAGTCCTGGTTCAGACCTGGCTCAGTCCTTGTTTAGTCCTGGTTCAGTCCTGGTTCAGACCTGTTTCAGTCCTGGTTTCAGACCTGGTTTCAGACCTGGCTCAGTCCTTGTTCAGTCCTGACTCAGACCTGCTTTAGTCCTGGTTTATCGCCTGCAGACCACAAAAGAATCTTCTAACTTTCCTCCTTCTTCTCTCTTGGCAGTTGAAGCCTGGGATGAAACACAAATAGAGCGGAACTAGCTGCAGGATGAAAAGATGGCCGCACCCCATATGGCACCCCCAGGACCAGACAGTTTTAAATACTTCACGCCAGAGTCGCTCGCTAACATCGAGAAGCGCATCCAGGAGGAGAAGAACAAGAAACCTCCGAAGCCGCGGTCCGACAGCAGTCACCGCGACACCTCCGACGACAATGAGGCCAAGCCCAACAGCGACTTGGAGGCGGGGAAGAGCCTGCCCTTCATCTATGGAGATATTCCGGCCGGGATGGTGGCCACGCCGCTGGAGGACCTGGACCCTTTTTATATGAACGCAAAAGTAAGTCATACGTTATTATTGTATTTTGTATGTATTTGGTAGGGACATGTGCATATAATGTGGAACTACAAAATTATAGTGTAGACATATAGTGTCCTGGTTTAGACCTGGTCCAGAGCTGGTTTCGTCCTGGTTCCTACCTGGTCCAGAGCTGGTTTTGTCCTTGTTCCACCCTGGTCCAGAGCTGGTTTTGTCCTGGTTCCTACCTGGTTCAGAGCTGGTCCAGAGCTTTTATGTCACAATCTAAACAGCAGGATCACAGAGAGCGCTAAACCACAAATTAGTTAAGACCAAAATTGGTGAGTGTGACCCAAACAGTTACTGAGCAAGAGTTTACTTACTAACCCCTGCATCACATGGCCTCGGTCCTCGTTCTGTACACGTCCGTCCGTTGGAGCAGATCCCTTCCTCAATGTGGCCCTCCCCGAGGTTTCTCACTTTCTTCCACTGTATTTTTTGAGTTTTTCCCTTGCAGATGTGAGAGGGTCCAAGGACAGTGGTGATGATCCAGGACACTCAACCTTCAACCACATTTATAGACATTGGTCATCTGCCTCTTATGGACCAATGGCTCTGTTTTTATCACTGCATTTCTTGTGTTTGAATGTATTGATTCTCTGATCTGTGTTGGCGAAACGACAGCTTTGAAAAGTCCCTCGAAATAACTACTGTTGGGATTTAAGGTTATAAAAACTGTGAATCGGGTGCAGATTTGACTGTCACCTCCCTACCCAGAAATGGATTAAGGGGAAGAGGATGGATGGAAAAATGTTCAAACACATTTTACATCGTACTACCTTCACATTCAATTCAATGTATTTGTGTATAGCCCTAAATCCCAAAGGCAGTCATCAACAACAGTCAACAGCAGATCAGAGAATCGAACAGTTTGAACACAAGAAATGTTAATAAATGTCCTTATCATCACTGTCCTTGGACTGCAACCAGTACAAATATTGGACACATTTTGGCTTTTTGTCCAGTTTTTTATGGTAGAGCATTCATACTGGTTTACTGGTCACTGCTTTGGCCTGGATCCAGCAGTGACACATGTGTGCTGAGTGTGGAGCAAAAAAAGCACAGTTCATTTGCAAAAACAGATTAGTGCCATTCGAAAAATAATGGAAAGTCTTATCATTTATCGTTTACAAAGTTATCTTTTGGTACCTGTCAAATAAACGAAACGAAACATGTTGACGATTGTAAATAGAGGAATACAACCTTTTGATAAATGTTCTAAATGGAGATATCTGTTCTTGAAAATGATCTCTTCAAATGGTTCACTGACCGAGGCATAGGCTACTTCAATGGTTCTCAACTCTTGGTTCTCAAGGCTTCGGGCAGTATCTGACAAATATGTATCTGTGGTTGTGCTCGGAAGTTTCCACAGCCAGATATGTTACTCTTTCGTTCAGATTTATACAGTTTGGAGCAGTCTACCTAAAAATGTGAGACAGTCTGTTCTGGCAGTGTTTATGTCCAGGTTCGTAACATTTCTGTTTAGCTGTGCACACAACTGTAGGACTGGATCTTCACTCTTTTTAATGGTTTAGGCCTTGTTTTTGGCCTGGTTTAGACCTGCTTCAGTCCTGGTTTAGACCTGGTTAGGTCAGTTAGGTCAATCAGGTCAGGACCTGGTTTAGACCTGGTTAAGTCCTGGTTTAGTCTGGTTCAGACCCAGTATAAGCGGTGGAACAACTGCATATTGAACTCTCTCTGAAACATCTGAATAAAATCAAGTTAAAATGATGACTTCAGAATCAGATAACCTCTGACCTCTGGAGGACCTCTGTGGTCTTACCTGTTTGTCAAAGCCTAAGCAGTGTTGGACCTGGTTAATACTTGGATGAGAGACTGCTCTAGGATCACCAGGGGCCACAGTGGGTGGCGGAGGCTGTGTGTGTGTGTGAGTTTCAGGCCCAGGCTGGAGTTTGGTGTATCTTTGTTATTGTTGCTGTAGATGCATTATTTCCTCATTTTTTTCTCAATGAATTCAAACTTTAATGTGTTGCACAACCATAGTCCGTGTATAAAAAGTGCACTGGCCGAGTGTGACATCACCATAGTGTTAAGCCTTAATGCAGAAGAGTCTGATTTTAACATAAGCTAACTGGAGTGCATTTCCTTATATGGGCATTTGTTCTGATGGAGGTAGCTTTGCGCTGTATCAGGGGTAGACGTGTTGCTAAGACGGTTGCTAAGGCAAGCTGAAGTTTACCCTGAGAATGAAGGCATCAGATTGGTTTTTCATACTGAGATACAGGAGTTTACTTTTCAATGTTAGTCAGTAGGAGCCAGAGCGAGTTGGAGAAAAACTACGCCCATGAGCACTTCCCTGTTGGGCTTCATTGAGCTAGCGGGTTAGCATTGTCTGCACAACTCAGATCTGACGGTCAGAAGGAAGAGAGAAAAGATTATTCAAGTAAGCGTTTAAACTGTTTATACTATAACTAACATTTTTAGCAGTGAATCTTTTATTCATATTATTTAAACCATGGCTATACTACAGGCTACAGATGCTGTAAATTCCATCCTTCTTTATTGTAATCTTAATGATAATCTGGCATATTTGTTTGTGGTCTGGATTGAATGTTTTGTGGTGAAAACAAAGCTTTCTGTCATTAATAATGCACCGTTATTTGACCAGCTGCAGCAGAAGACCAATACGAGCATCTGGAACTGCTGCGCTCTGATTTTAACACAACAAACGCATTTTACATTCAAGCTTTTGGAAATTAACATGCAACCAGAAATGTGCACTTGGAGCGCACATACCCCGCCGACAGCAGGGAAATTGGAATGTTGTCCTACCATTGAATCCCATCTACACGGGATGCACAAAATTGGGTCAAGAACTAAGACATATATGTTGATATTTAGAGAACTGTTTTAACCTGGATTTGAACATTGCTAGAGTAGAAGCCTGTCTCACATTTTCAGGAAGACTGTTTTAGATTTTAGCTGCATAAATCTGAAATGCTGCCTCCCCATGTTTAGTCCTGACTCCATGGGCACCAGCAGGAGGCCAGTCCCTGTGCTCCTCAGAGTCCCAGCAGGAGGCTAGTCCCTGTGCTCCTCAGAGTCTTGGTTCATGGCACTAACATGTCTCGAATCTTACATTGGCCATTCTTGGTTTGGATTAGGACAGAGAATATGAATCGATGCGTTTCCCTCAGTGGGGAAATGTCAATGTCATCCTGGAGCCAGAGTCAGGATGAAACATGGAGAAGCAGCTTTTCAGATCTATGCAGCGGGGATATAGAACAGTCTTCCTGAGGTCGTGAGACGGGCCTCTACCTTGACCATGTTCAAAACTTGTTTGAATACAACTGATTATATTTTGGAATATTCATCACTTTTATCTATTTTTAAACCCAAATTGTAGTACGTGTTTTAAGCATTGCATTTTGATCTGTGCTTTTAAATGAAGGACTTTGAATTGACATGAATTGTGCTATACATATAAATGATTGATTGATAGTTGCGCCCATTACAGCACAATAGAAGAAGAAATTAGAGCAGTCAGGTTATGCACACATCCAACATGATCTACTATATCTATTATTTGAGATGATACAAAATAAGATAAACTCTGGAGCTTTAAAAGATGATGCTTTAGGATCATAATTCCGTCAAAACACACGACACGCAATATTCTCCTTTGCCTCAATTTTCAATTATTTTGCCGAGCAGAAAACCCCTCCTCCATGTAACCTGCAGTCTCCTCCACCCGACCCACAGAACGCCCAGTGTGTGAGTGCGTGCGTGCGTGCGTGAGTGCGTGCGTGTGTGTGTGCGTGTGTGTGTGTGTGTGTGTCCGGTCAAATGCAAGAAACCTGATCGCAGCACTCATGCATCACGGAGGAAGAGCTGCGGGAGAAATGCAGCGTTGCAGTTCTGTTCCCCAGCGAGAGAGAGAGAGAGAGAGAGAGAAAGAGAGAGAGAGGGGAGGGGCCAGGGAGGGGAGGGAGAGGAGGATGAGAGAGCAGAGAAAGGGGGGAGGGGCAAGGGAGGAAGTGGAGGGTGAGCGAGGAGAAATAGAGAGACTGGGAGATGTGTTAGAGGGGCCATAACGTGGACTTATCTCAGATTTTGTCCATGTATTTGATGTTTTTTTCATATAGGTCTATTTACATTAGAAGTGGACTGATTGAGTGTGACATCACCGGGACTTAATCTCAATGGGACTTTCCTGGTTAAATAAAGGTTAAATAGAAATGAACCTTAATGTGAATGAAGGTTTCTGATTGGTCAATCCTAATACAGCTTGTGTCTGCATTTACAAAGGCAAAATTGTGAGTGTGACACAAACGGTTACTGAGCTAAAAGAGGTTACTTATTTGGAGCAAAACTTCCATGTCCATGAGCTTTTTCCTTCTGGGATTCATAAAGCTAGCGGATTAGCATTGTCCATCTGTGTACAGTCTATGGCCCACTGCCTTTGAATCTGTCTCATTTCCATTGACTATTTGACCAAATACCTTCAGCGGGTAAAATCGAAAATATCCTGTATCTAAAAGCCAGATCCTGTCAGACCTCTGAAGCTAAGCAGGGTAGGGTCTGGTTAGTGGTGTGATGTGAGACTTCTGGGAACACCATGTTCCACAGTGGGTTGGCTGCAGCTGTATAGTGCCAAACTATCTGTGTCCATAGGCAGGGCACTTCACCCACATTGCTTTGTGAGTCTGGTGTGAGTCTGGTGTGAGTCTGGTGTGGGTCGGTGAGTGAATGAATGGTGTTGATTGGAGGCTTTGATGCGTCAGTGTGTTCAACAACTCGCTGCGGTCATCACCGTGTGTGGAGAGAATGGAATAATATCTGAACTCTGAACAATTGTGAAGCGCTTTGGGTGACCTTGGTCTGTAAAAATGTGCTATATAAATAAACATTACTTACTTACTTACCAATTACAGTCAAAATACAATGTTTGAAACTTCTCAGATCTAATGTAAGTTTGAAAATTATTCTAGAAATGATCTCGCGATCCCCGTTTGGGAACC